AAGCGTGTGGGTTTCTCATATATCCATCGTAATGGTCACTTGTTTTCACTGTTTGGATTTCGTTTTGATTTCACCAGCATTGCATCCTTGTTTCCCAGCGCACGGATGTCTGATTGGTTTCCAAGATATAGACGTCGTATTGCTTACAATTGTGCGGAACTCGTACTGTCTCCTGTGTACGGATGTCGTCTTACTCTGAAGTGTGAAGATGTCTTGCAGATTTCGAGCACAAGGGCTCCTGGACTCCAGCGTCCAGGCCGCACTCGTCGCCGCGCCAGTCCACCATCATGCTCGGGTCCTCCCCGAGGTCGGCGCCCAGCCCCGCAGGCAAGCGACGCCTGCGGCGCTCCTCGCGCGCCAGCTCACGGCCCTCCAGCACCATCTCGCAGAGCACCTCGCGCGAGAGCTCCCCCTCGAACCTGACCGCGTCGCCGCGGAAGCCCTCTGGCCACCCGTGGAGCACCGAGACGTGCCAGCGCCAGTCCGCCTTCCGCTCCACGTGGCGGTCGCCGCCCGGTGTCGCCACCACCCAGCACTCGTGGCGCCGGTCGCGGTGGACGGGCCAGAGCAGGAGCCGCTCGTGCGTCCACCCATCGCCGGCGAGCCGCACCAGCAAGCGGGCTCCTCGGCGGCGCTCCTCGTAGGTCGACATGCTCGCGGGCGGCCACGGGCCGAGGAGATGCCGGAGGGGCCGCGCTCCAGCGTCCCGCCAGGAACGCCAGCAGCACCAGCGCCAGCCAGCGCGGCCACGCCCGGACCGCCCGGGCAGGCTGGGCAGGGCGAAGGGCGGCAGTCGGGGCATGGCGCGCACGCCTGCCCCGAAAAGGCCACCCGCGCCGCCTCTGCGACCGCCCCGCGCGCCAGCTTGCGCAGCATGCCGGGCCCAGCCTCCGCCAGGGCCGCGCAGAGGCCCGCCACCACCATCCGGCAGCGGGGCCTCAGCGCGCTGAAGCTTGAGCGGATTCGGCGGCGACAGGCCGAAGGACGCAGCAGAGTAATTACGTGGTCCCCACAGCCATCCCGTGGGTTTGTGACAGATTTAGGCACGTGCTTATTTTCGGCACTCCGACGGCTCAAGACGGCCCAAGAGGCCTCCAAGATCGCCCTAGACGCCTTCAAGATGGCCCCCTGACGGCCCGAGAGGCCCCCAAGACGGCCCCAAGAGGGCCCAAGAGACCCCCAAGACGCCCAAGATGGCCTCCAAGACGGCCAAGATGGCCTCCAAGATGCCTCCATGACGGCCCAAGATGCACCCAAGACGGCCTAAGATGGCCTCAAGATGGCCCAAGACGGCCCAAGAGGCCCCCAAGAGGCCTCCAAAACGGCCCCAAAGGCGTCCAGGAGGTCTTCCAGGAGGGCACGAAGAGGCCACAATCATTGATTGTCCTAAGGTGTTTGAAAGATTTTGGCGTTTGCGTCTTCTCGGCATTCTGACGGTTCAAGACGGCGCAAGAGGCCCCCAATATCGCCCAAGAGGCCTCCAAGATAGCCCCATGACGTCTCAAAAGGCCCCCAAGACGGCCCCAAGAGGGCCCCAAAACGGCCCAAGAGGCCTCCAAGACGCCCGAGATTGTCTCTAAGAACCCCTGGTGCATAGTATGCCCCAAGAGGGCCCCAAGACGACTCAGACAGGCCCCCAAGACTGCTTCCGTGAGACAAGCCAGGAACGCCATAAAACGGCCAAAGAGGCCCCAAAAAAGTCCCAAAAGGCCCCCCCAAACCCTCCAAGAGGCCCCAGGAAGCTCCCAGGAGACCCTAAGTGTGCCCCAAGAGGCGCCCAAGAGGCCTCCTCCTCCTCCTCCTCCTCGTCCTGCCCTTCCTTCTCTTCTTCCTCCTCCTCTTTTTTCCTCATCCTCCCCCTCATCCTCTTCTTGCTCCCCCACGCGCTCCCCGAAGTCTGTCCAAACCACTCGGGGAACAACTGGCCCGATAGCTTGGCGAAGCTCTGGCCCAGCTGTCGGCCACAGAGGAGCTTCCAAAGGGGCAGGGGGCGGCGGTGATTCGCCGTGGGCGTCTTAGATCCGCCGCCCCTTGTTGGCTTGTCATAGGGTTGCCCAGCATGCTAGACCCTTTCGCTTTTCGTTTCGCTTCTTTTTCCAAAAGAACTCCCCCTGGGGCTTCGGCCCGTCCCGCCGGCCAACCGGAAAAGTGCATAAAAAGGTGGCTGCAAAGGGTTGTTCGCCTCCCAAGATGCCTCCAAGACGGCCAAGAAGGCCTCAAAGACAGGGAAGATGGCCCCACGATGCACCCAAGACGGCCCCAGGTGGCCTGAAGATGGCCTTAGACTGCTCGAAAGGCCCCCCAGAGGCCTCCAAGACGGCCCAAGACCCCGCCAAGGCGTCCTCCAGGAGGTCCGAAAGCTCGGAAACCACCTAGTCCGATGGCTCGCTCGACTCCGTGTTCCCCGACGGCTTTCGACACCCACTCGGGGAACGCGTGGCCCGATGGCTTGACCAAGCTCAAACCCAACTTTCGGCCACGCAGGCGCTTCCAAAAAGACAGGGGGCAGCGGTGATTCGCCGTAGGCATCTTCGATATACATCAGCACGACCCGCGGAATGAACAAACAGTTCCTGGGAAGAAGGGGCCGAGAGGTGCGACGGGCCCAACTCAAGAACAACTCGCCGTCCTCGTCGTCGCCCTCGGCGTCGTCACAAAGGCGGTTCCTACCGCATCGTTCCTCTATGTCCTCCTGCTCCCCCCCCCTGATCGAACTCGGGCTGCGCGCCCGTCTCCTCTGCCTCGCCCCGACGCCCCCTCCCCCCCCACGCATTTTCTGATCCTCCTGCACCACGAGCCCGAGCTGTACATCCAACTCTGCGTCCAGCTCCTCTACCTCACCCTGGTCCTTCTCCGCCTCCAGCCTCCCTCCTCTGCCTCCCGAGCCGCGCCCGTCGCAGCACTCGGGCCCGAGCGGGCGGCGCAAAGGGGTGCTCTTCGAGCCCTGGGCCCCTGATGGCCCCTCGCCTCGGTGCGAAGGAGGAGGCAGGAGGGGGCACGGGAACGGGGGAGGGAAAGTGGGAGCGAGCGGGGGAGACACGAAGAGGAGAGCAAGAGGGGGAGGTCGGCTGGGGAGGAGGGGCGGAGACTTACAAGGTTCCCTGAGATACTGGGGAAGAGATGGCAGGAAGACGACGACGGGGGACAATCAAGGACGGGGAGAGGGGAGCTGGAGGAGGAGAACAACGACGGCGTCCACGACGACGGCGGCAACGCCGACGACGACGGCGGTGGCGGCGGCAAAGACGACGACGACGACGACGATGACGACGATGACGTCGACGACGACGACAGCGGCGGCGGCGGCGGTAACGGCCTGCGGCGGCCCCTCGGCGCGGAGCCGCGGCTCAGGGCGCGGCTCGAGCGCGGCGGCCGCGGGCGCGGGGGCCGCGGCGGCCGCGGCAAGCGCGCCCTTCACGAAGGGCGTCTCCGCCTCGGCCGCGGCTGCCGCGGGCGCGGCGCGTCGTCGTCGCCGCCGCCGCCGCCGTTCGGCGTGAGCATCTGGGGGGCTCGAGCGCACCGAGCGCGGCCGCGGCGCAGAGGGGGCAAAAGGTCGCGCAGGCGTACCGCGCACGGAACGCGGCCGTGGCGGGAGGGGGGGGCGGAGCCCGCAAGCTCGGGGGGCGGGCGCGGGGACCTACCGGGGGCGTTCGTGCGGTGTCCTGGCGGGGGCTTCTTGGGCGCGGTTCTCGAGGGCCTCTTGGGGGGGGCCTCCTGGGGACCCCGTCGGGGGACCATCCTTGGTAGGTGCCCCCCTGGGCCACCGCGGTCTGCTTTGCTTTGCGGAGAGAGGGGGGAGGAGGAGGAGGAGGAGGAGGAGGAGGAGGAGGAGGAGGAGGAGGAGGAGGAGGAGGAGGAGGGGTGCACTGCCAGAATTCCCCGCGAGGTCTTGGCCCGGGGGCGCCACCGGGACGTGCCCGGGGCGCGATCTCTGGGGAGGGAGGCCGGGCGCCCAGGGCACGCGGGGGCAAGCAGGGTGCTTCTTGACATGGGCCTCCACTGCATGAGGAAGAAGGAGGGGGGATGAGGAGGAGGGGGAGGAGAAGGACGAGGAGGGGGAGGGGAGGGAGGGGGAGGGGGGAGGAGGAGGACGAGGAGGAGGAGGAGGAGGGGAGGAGGAGGAGGAGGAGCAGGAGGAGGAGGAGGAGGAGGAGGAGGAGGAGGAGGAGGAGGCAGGAGCAGGAGGAGCAGGAGGAGCAGGAGGAGCAGGAGCAGGAGGAGGAAGGGATGGCAACTCCTTCAATCCTCGAAGGCAGGGCCCTCTCTGGAACGCCCCATCTGTTCATGCAGCTTCGCGTGGCTCGAGCGCCTCTCGGCGGCGGGCAGGGCGTGGCACCGCGGCGAGGCCCCCCGAGCCCGGGCTGGCTGCACACGGGCGGCGGGCACCGGGGGCGGGCACCACCCCCTGTCCCGGCCGGCCGGGGGAAGCGCGCGCGCCCCCCTGGGGCGGCGGAGGATGCGGTGGAGGAAGAAGCCGAAGGCGAGGCCGAGGGGTATATAGGCGAACTGGGGGGACAGCGGGAAGAAGGCACACGCCACAAGCATAGACTCGTGGGGCGCTCCGCGCGGAGTTCTTGGATCTGCGTTGGGACCCCCCCGCGGCGCCTCTGGCGCCGCCGGCGCTGCCCCCGGCGAGCTCCGCGCGCCAGGGACGGGGGGGTCCAGCGCAGATACAAAAAACCTGCGCGAAGCGCCACAAGTTTATGTTTAGGGGATTTTTCTTCTTCTTCGCACAGCGCGGAGGACGAGGACGAGAACGAGAGGTGGACAACGACGTGAATGGCTACCTACCAGACCACCCCAACCCAACCCGAAGACCCGGATTTCGGGTTGGGGGGGTAAGGGTTCCACATGTGTTTTTCCAATGCTTCCCGCCCCCCCCACCACTGGAAATGGAGGGCAAATTGAGGCCTTCGGGTTGGGTTGGGGTGGTTTAGTGGATGGTGAGTGAAGGAGGGCACGAGGAGGGCGAGGAGCAGATCGAGGGCACCTGCGGGCCGAGGCCGAGCGGATCCCAACGACGACAGGCGGGCGGGCGCACGCGACCGAAGGGTGCCGGTGGCCGACAGGCGCGCGCCACCCCCCCCAGGGCGGTGCAGACCGCTCCACAGACAGGCTCGCGTCCAGAGTGAAAAATCAAGACGATCCACTTTTCCTCCTCCTCCTCCTCCTCCTCCTCCTCTTCCTCCTCCTCCTCCTCCTCCTGCTCCTCCTCCATAAAAATCAAGACGATCAATTGATCGTCGTGTCCGGCCTCGGAGAGGCGTTGACCTAAGGAACCCTGAATAAGGAAGTGGGCCCCATTTTTCCATAAGTCAAACTTTGACTTGCCATCGAAACCCTCAGGAAAACCTCAGGCAAGCTGCAAAACAATGAAGGAACACGGAGCCCCTCCCCAACGAGAAGGCTTCCTTCTTCAGCGCCCCGACTGTAGGGGGCCCTGGGCCAGGGGCGCAGGGGCTCTTTCCGCGGCCGCGCCCGGCGCCCGCAGAGGCGCGGGGGCGGGCACCGACGGGGGGCGCCGGGCACGGAAGGGCGCGGAGGGGGCCGGAAGAGGAGAGGGCGGCCGCGGAGGAGGTGGCGGTGGGCTCGGGCTTCGGTGCAGTGGGTCTGGGTCGGGCATGCCCCCCTACAGGCGGGTGGCAGACGAAACATGACTAGTTCTCTCTTGTTATAAAATTATCCCAGTGCGACCCTGCCTAGGAGTTGGAGCCCCTAGGAAAGCAGCACTAGTAGTAACGGTAAAGCTAAGCTAAAGCTAAGCTGCAGCTAAGCTACAGCTAAGCTAAAGCTAAGCTAAAGTTAAGCTAAAGCTAAGCTAAAGCTAAGCTAAAACTAAGCTAAGGCTAAGCTAAAGCTAATATAAAGCTAAACTAAAGCTACGCTAAATCTAAGCTAAAGCTAAGCTAAAGCTAAGCTAAATCTGAGCTAACGTTAAGCTAAAGCTAAGCTAACTATAAGCTACAGCTAAGCTAATTATAGGTTTAAGCTAAGCTAAAGCTAAAGCTAAAGCTAAAGCTAAAGCTAAGCTAAAGCTAAGCTAAAGCTAAGCTAACGCTAAGCTAACGCTAAGCTGAAGCTAAGCTAAAGCTAAGCCAACGCTAAACTAAAGCTAAGCTAAAGCTAGCTAAAGCTAAGCTAAAGCTAAGCTAAAGCTAAGCTAAAGCTAAGCTAAATATAAGCTAAAGTTAAAGCTAAGCTAAAGCTAAACTAAAGCTAAGCTAAAGTTAAGCTAAAGCTAAGCTAAAGCTAAGCTAAAGCTAAGCTAAAACTAAGCTAACGCTAAGCTAAAGCTAAGCTAAAGCTATGCTAAGGCTAAGCTAAAGCTAAAGCTAAAGCTAAAGCTAAAGCTAAAAGCTAAAGCGAAAGCTCCCAGGGGACTGGGGGAACCGCGGGGCGGGGACTGGGGGAACCGCCCGGGGCGCTGTGCACTGCCCGGCCCCTTTAAGCTAAGAGAGTAAGAACCCTTCTAGGCAGAGCCTAGGTAGGGAAAAACAGCACCCCAAAGAAGCAACAACGTCCCAAAACCGTGCTTTGAGTATTTTTGAACCCAGAGATCCAACGTCGTGATTTTTTCAATACGCGGTCCCCGGAAGTCTCGACCCATTCCCAAGGACCAGTGTTTAGTCCAGTCGTTTTTTGACGGTCCCGAGACCCTGCGAGGGCCCCTAGGGGCCGAAATTTGAGAAAAACCTCCGTCTTGATTACCTAACAGCGTTTGCTGATAGGTTTCTAGTAGGGTCAAAAGAGAGCATCATGACTCCTCAGGGGGGTCTGGGCGGGTGCCGGGAAGGAGAACCGGGAATCGTTTTTCGCCACCAGTCACACACTTCGTGCTCTTCGACCTCCCAGAACTCAATTCCCGGGACACATTCTGGAGAACCGGGAACAGAGCTGGGCTCGCTTTTTGCAAACAGTCACACACTGCGTGCTCTTCGACCTCCCAGAACTCCATTCCCGGGCCACTTTCTGGAGAACCGGGAACAGAGCCGGGCTCGTTTTTCGCCAACAGTCACACACTTCGTGCTCTTCGACCTCCCAGAACTCCACTCCCGGGCTACATTTTGAGTGCCCGGAGCCAACTGTAGGCCACTTCGTGCTCTTCGAGTTCCCAGAACTCCATTCCCGGGCCACATTTTGGATGCCCGGAGCCAACTGTAGGCCACTTCGTGCTCTTCAAGTTCCCAGAACTCCATTCCTGGGCATGATTTTGAATGCCCGGAGCCAACTGTAGGCCACTTCGTGTTCTTCTAGTTCCCAGAACTCCATTCCTGGGCCACATTTTGAATGCTGAGGCAGGCTGATGCTGCGGCCGAGGCAGGCTGAGGCTGAGGCAGGCTGAGGCTGAGGCCGAGGCTGAAGGCAGACTGAGGCTGAGGCTGAAGCAGACTGAGGCTGAGGCTGAGGCAGGCTGAGGCTGAGGCAGGCTGAGGCTGAGGCTGAGGCAGGCTGAGGCTGAGGCTGTGACTGCGACTGCCGTTGCCGCTGCGACTGTCATCGCGAATGCGACTACGACTGCGAGAACAGCAGAATTCTACAACTGGATTTTCATCTGAATCTTAAGGGGAATGCTTTCAGATATGCTTCTACATATCGCTGTTAGGTTGCTTTGCCGGGATATTTTTTTTCACTGCGTTGGATCTCTGGGAACGTTCCTCCTGTGGAGGGACATGCCCCACGCAACAGCCGGTGGTGGTGGGCCCGGGCCCCAGCGCAGTCGCGCGTGCCGCTGCATGCTGGGCTCTCGGCGCGCCCCCCGCGCCGCGGTCGAGGGGCCTCCCCTAAAGGGAGGCCCGCGACTGCGGCGGGGGGGGGGGGACCAGGGGAAGGGAGACCGGGGGAGGGGGGACGGGGGGAGGGGAGGGGGGGGGACCGGGGGAAGGGCCTTCTCGAAGGGGGGGGGGGCGGGGGAAGACCGGGGGAGGGCGAGGGAGGCGGACGAAAGGGGGGGGCGCGACTCCCAGACCCCCTCGAGTGCTGAAAAATCACGACGGGAGGTTTCTCTGAATTTTCAGCCTCTGGGGCCCGCACCCGGGGCCTCGGGAGCGTCGAGAACGACTCAGGATGCAAAGCCGGTCATGGGGAAATGGTCGGGACCTCTGGGGGTCGACGTCATGAAAAAGTCATTACGTCCGGGGTCTGGGCTAGGAGGGGGAGGGACAAGGGGGGGTTCCAGCTGGCTGCAAAAAGCTGTGCGTAATTGTGGCTGAGCTGGGATTCGAGCTCGCTCCAGGGAAGGAGGGTGGGAAAGACAAAGTGACCCCCCCCGAAGATCCACCGAACAGCGCCACATGCTTCCGCCGCCTCTTCCTCCTCCACGTCCGCGGTTGTTCAAAACACGGCGCGTTTGGCCCCTTCCAGGGGGCAATTCTTGTTGCCTCCAAGCCTGCTTCGGATTGAAAGAGCACGCCAGGACCGCAACAACAAAACCACGACTGCGCATACCGATCTGGAACTCTCCCTCGCTCCTCTCGGGCACCAACTCTACAGTGCCACCCCTGGGGCCCGAGCACGCAGCAAGCACACATTCGCACCGACCCCCGGACCCAGGAGCGGCCCGGCCAGGACCGGTTTGGGTTTGGGTGCGCGCTGGCGTGAAGCAAAGATCCGTGGACCTCGCGCGCGGGCCCCAGACCCCCGACGGAATGATCTTTTCATTACGTCGACCCCCATCGGGGTTGGACAGACCCCCCTTTAGTAAAACGTGGTTTAGTGAAAACGACCTGAGGCCCAAACCTGGCGGGCGCAAGCCTGGAAAATAGCGGCCACTGTTGGGGGTTCTGTCCACCCCCGACCCCAGAGGTACCGACCCTTTCCCCAGGACCGGCTTTGCATCCCGAGTCGTTGTTTGGCGCTCCCGAGGCCCCGGTGAGGGCCCCCGGAGGCCGAAGATTCAGAGGAACCTTCCGTCGTGGTTCTTGCACTGCTCGAGGGGGTCTGGGGCGCCAGATCCGCAGATCGGGGGCACTGCCCCCGAGACGTGGGGCCGAGGCCGCCGGAGTTCGCGACGGATCGCGCGGACCACGTGCGGAAGCGGGACGCGTCGCTGATCCACGCGTCGCCCACCCACTCGCGCCTCCTCGACCGTCCAGGCACGATGTTGCATCATGCCTCGTGGATGCCACGACAATGGACACCCGAACATTCCGATCATTGAAGTAAAAGCATGCGTGTCAACCGTTTGAACGATGCTCCAAACATGTGGAAATATGCTGCTTCGAATGTCTAAGACGTGTTGAAAACACGTTGTTGACAAACGGAAATCATTTGGCAACGCGCTTCCTCTCCATTGATCGTCCTGTCTTGCTGCCCCGTGCGCTTCTCTTCCTCCCTCGAAGCCGCCCGCCCCCTCCGCGGCCCCCCCCGGGCGGGGCGGTGTGGAGCTCGACTGCCTTCCGGCAACCTTCAGGGGGCCCAAGGACACGAAAATAAATACACACACACAGATCCCAGGAGTCCCCCTATTCTATATCTTCTGGATCTCCGTCTTCCCCCCCTCCCATATGTTCCGATCTCGTCCTGGGAGTCGACGACGACGTGTGTCTGTGTGCTGTTTCCCCCTACTGGAGCCTCCCCGTGGGGGGAGCGAGCGAGAACCGCCGGCCGCACCCCAGCCAGCGGAGAGGCGCCCTCGGGAGCACGGAGCCCTCCGCCGGCCGGGACACACGGAGCAGCCAAGGACATCTGCTCGCCACAGGAAGCCGCAGGCCACACCCAACAGGCACAGAGGAAGTTGAGGGATGAAAAAACGGCCCTGCCCTGGGTTACAAGTGCGTGGTCTGGAAACCTCCTGGGAGCCCCCAAAGCCTAGAGCCGCCAGGGCGCGACACATCACGCAAGGTTTACCCTGTCAGCCCACAGGAGTTTCAGCGCACAGCGCCTCGTAAACCAGGGCAGGGGCGTTTTTTTATGCCCTTGAGGAACGGGGTCAAGTGGGACCTGGTTCAGTGATGTCTACTGGGGGACGCCCCTCCCCCGCCCGGTTCCACCAACCGGAACTGCCGCAGCCCGAAAAAACACCAGCTGCGGCGAACAAACCTGGTGTAGTGACTCTGGCCAACTCAGGGGCTCCGGGGCCCTACCACTAACCGGGTCCCCCTACCTGGGGTCCGGGCCATACCCAAGCCGTCCCCGAGCCGACCTCGATCTCGTGCCTCGGCCCGGCTGTGCCAGAGCGCAGCGCCCGCGCGACGGCCAGAGCCCCGCCCCTCGAGGGGCGGGCGCGGCGAAGCCTCTGGAGGCTCAGCGGCCCCTCGCGGGGCCCTGCGCAGCCGCGCTGCGTTCTCAGACCCCCGACGTCATGATTTGTTCGTCACGTCGACCCCCAGAGTTCTCCACCCGTTCCCTGGGACCGGCTTCTCGGCCTGACTCGCTTTGTGACGGCCCCGAGGCCCGGCGAGGTCCCCGAGAGGCTGAAGATGGCGAAGAACCCCCCCCATCATGATTTCTGTCATCGCTCGAGGGGGTCTGGGCTCGTCGGCGCTGGCGCCTCCTCGCCCCGAAGACCTGCGGCCCCAAGTGGCCATCGCCCGCACTGGCAGCGTCGAGCACGCGAGCACCGACCTCGGCACCTCCCCGAGCTCTTCACGCCCGGGGCGGTGGCTCTGGCCGTCCCGCGGCCGCCCTCCCTTCCCCCCTTGGATGGGCCCATCTCCCACCACCACTGCCATGGGCAGGAGAGGGAGGAGGAGGAGGAGGAGGAGGAGGAGGAGGAGGAGGAGGTGGAGGAGGAGGTGGAGGAGGAGGAGGTGGAGGAGGAGGAGGAGGAGGAGGAGGAGGAGGAGGATGGAGGAGGAGGAGGAGGTGGAGGAGGAGGAGGTGGAGGGGGAGTAGGAGAGGGAGGAGGGGGAGGAGGAGGAGGTGGTGGAGGATGAGTAGGAGAGGAAGGAGGAGGTGGTGGAGGAGGAGGAGGAGGAGGAGGAGGAGGAGGAGGACCTCCTCGTCATCCCTTCTCCCCCGTCCTGCATGTGGTAGCGGTGGTGGAACGTATGCCCGTCGCCCCTGCCTGCTCCTGCCTCCCTGCACGCTTCGCTTCCGACGACCGCCCGCCGCCAGCTCGACCGCCCGCTGGCCCCAGCCCGCCGCCGATCAAACCCTCGGGGGCCCGAGTTAAGACCTCAGAAACGCTGTTATAAACCCGGGGGCCTCAAAAACTTCGGGGGCCCTAAAAGACTTCGGGGACCCGAATTAAGACCTTAAGACCTTCGGGGGCCCTAATGAAGACCTTCGGGGGACCTTCGGGGACCCTGCTCTCAAAAACGCTGGGGGCGTTTTTGGGGGCTCGTTTTCAAGATCGGCGTTCTCTTTCTGTTTTGGGATCCGTTGTTTCTCCGTGTTGGGATCCCAATTAAGACCTCAGATGCTCTCAAAACCGCTGGGGGCGTTTTTTGTGGCTCGTTGTCCAGATCGACGTTTTCTCTTACGTTTTGGGATCCGTTCGTTCTCCGTGTTGGGCTTGCCGTCTCGCCAATTTCGCTTCGTTTTGCAATTCCTGTTCTGATGGAATTGAACTGCAAATTTGTTATGCTTCCCGTTTCTGTCAATGGCTTTCTGTTTGGGGCTGCCGTTTTATCTGTTTTGGGTTGCCGTTTCTCGATCGTTCTGGGCCTGGCCGGTGTCGGTTTGGTTCTGTCTTGGGTTGCCGTGGTGTTATGTGTTGCCCACCCGCAGCAAGAAAAGTTGAAAACGGAACAAAAAACGCCCCCCAACGCATTTAAGAACAACTATTGGCGGCGCGCAAAAGGGAATAGGCGGAGGGGGGAAGGCTTCTCAGAAGCACCCTGCTTCTGAGAAGGCCTTACGTCTATACACAAGGCCCGCGCCTTCTGAGAAGGAGGGGTGCTTCTAAGAAGCCTTCCCCCCTCCCTCTACCCCCCACTGCGCGTGGCCGACTAAGACCGTGTGGTGACGGACCACGTGGTGACCTCGGAATCCCGAGGCAAAACTCACCGCGTGGTCCGGCCACCGGACGGCTTGGAGACCTCTGAGGAGACCCGGCCCCCCCAAGAGACATTCGCGGAGACCGACCCCCCGAGCTCCACAAGCGTGCGGTGAGATACCGGATCCCCACGGACTCGCCACGGTGTTGCGTGCGGGCGGGGACTGGCACTCAGAAGGAAGCTTGCCACCAGGAGGAGGAGGAGGAGGAGGGGGAGGAGGAGGAGAAGGAGGAGGAGGAGGAGGAGGAGGAGGAGTAGGAGGAGGAGGGGGAAGAGGAGGAGGAGGAGGAGGAGGAGGAGACTGATACAGTGGGTCACCACGCTGTTCGGGGCTTCCCGGAAGTGGTCGCTGTCGTCGTCCGATCCCCCGCCAAGGCAGCGAGGCATGCACTGAGCGCCGCCACGCGCGAGGGGCCGGCTGCGGCGGCGGCCAGGGCGCAGCGGTGGGAGCGGCACTCAGGTGGGTGCGCCTCCGCGCGTCGCAGGTCGGTCGGCGACGGCGGCGGCAGAGCACGACGACGACTCGGACAGCGCAAGTCGAGACGAACCTAGCTCAATGCGTCTAGAAGAAGAAGAAGAAGAAGAAGGAGACGAGATGAACATAGCTTAATGCGTCTAGAAGAAGAAGACGAAGAAGAAGGGATCACCAGCTGCATCAGCATAAACTGTTGGAGAGGTCCGCGCGGATCTCTTCCTGGGTCGGCGCGGAGCCCCCCTCCCGGGCGCGAGCAGCGCGCCAGGAGGGCAGCGCTGGAGGCGCCGCCACTGGGGGCGGGGCAGCGTCGCTCCAGGAGATCCTCGCGGAAAGCAGGCAGACAGACTTGCCAGCCTGGAACATATCCCTATCCCTATGCTGGGCATCTCCTCATCACCATGCCAATCTCAGGGATTCCCTTACCTTTTGAGGGCGCATCCCTAAGATTGCCATCGCCTTTTGGCGTGTCAGTTTTAGGGGTAGGGATAAGTTCGAGGCTGGTAGCACATGCTCATGCAGTGCCTTCGTCTTCGAACGTCGTCAGCTGCGCTGCGCTCTCTACTTGCTGCGCAGCGTGCTGGCATCAGTCCCGCTCTGGGGCCGATCGAGGCAGCAGGGCCTTCTTCGGCGGGCGCGCGCGCGCGCCAGCAAGCGCTCTGGCACTGCAGGCGCCCAACTCCCGCGTCGAGGACGCGGGGGCGGCACGGGGGGGAACCAGGACTGGAGGGAATGCGGAGGGCCGTGGAGAAGGGGTTTCTCGGGCGCACTCGGAGATCTCTTCGGAGGCTAGCGGAGGGGCGCTAGAGGCTCCCAGGATTTTCGGGGACGGGGACGGGTGCAAAGGCGTGCAAGAGGTTTCCCGAGCAGCAGGAGGAGGAGGAGGAGGAGGAGGAGGAGGTGTGTGTGTGTGCGTGCGTGTGTGCGTGTGTGCGTGTGTGCGTGTGTGCGTGTGTGCGTGTGTGCGTGTGTGCGTGTGTGCGTGTGTGCGTGTGTGCGTGTGTGCGTGTGTGCGTGTGTGCGTGTGTGCGCGTGTGCGCGTGTGTGCGTGTGTGCGTGTGTGCGTGTGTGCGTGTGCGCGTGTGCGCGTGTGCGTGTGTTGCGTGTGTTGCGTGTGGTGCGTGTGGTGCGTGTGGTGCGTGTGGTGCGTGTGTTGCGTGTGTTGCGTGTGTTGCGTGTGTTGCGTGTGTTGCGCGTGTTGCGTGTGTTGCGTGTGTTGCGTGTGGTGCGTGTGTTGTGTGTGTGTTGCGTGTGTTGCGTGCGTTGCGTGCGTTACGTGCGGTGCGTGTGGTGCGCGTGGTGCGTGTGGTGCGTGTGGTGCGTGCGTGTGCTGCGTGTGTGCTGCGTGTGCTGCGTGTGCTGCGTGTGCTGCGTGTGCTGCGTGTGCTGCGTGTGCGTGTGCTGCGTGTGCTGCGTGTGCTGCGTGTGCTGCGTGTGCTGCGTGTGCTGCGTGTGCTGCGTGTGCTGCGTGTGCTGCGTGTGCTGCGTGTGCTGCGTGTGCTGCGTGTGCTGCGTGTGCTGCGTCGTGTGCGTGTGCTGCGTGTGCGTCGTGTGCGTCGTGTGCGTCGTGTGCGTCGTGTGCGTGTGTGCGTCGTGTGTCGTCGTGTGCGTCGTGTGCGTCGTGTGCGTCGTGTGCGTCGTGTGCGTGCGTCGTGTGCGTCGTGTGCGTCGTGTGCGTCGTGCGTCGTGTGCGTCGTGTGCGTGTGCGCGTGTGCGTCGTGTGCGTCGTGTGCGTGTGCGTCGTGTGCGTCGTGTGCGTCGTGTGCGTCGTGTGCGTCGTGTGCGTCGTGTGCGTCGTGTGTGTGTGCGTCGTGTGCGTCGTGTGCGTCGTGTGCGTCGTGTGCGTCGTGTGCGTCGTGTGCGGCGCGTGCGGCGCGTGCGGCGTGTGCGGCGTGTGCGGCGTGTGCGGCGTGTGCGGCGTGTGCGGCGTGTGCGGCGTGTGCGGCGTGTGCGGCGTGTGCGGCGTGTGCGGCGTGTGCGGCGTGTGCGGCGTGTGCGTGTGCGTGTGCGTGTGCGTGTGTGTGTGTTGTGTGTTGTGTGTGTTGTGTGTTGTGTGTGTGCGTGTGTGTGTGTGTGTGTGCGCGTGTATGCGTGTGTGTGTGTGTGCGTGTGTGGGTGCGGTGGTGGGGGGGAAAAGGGGAAAAGGGGGGAGGGGGGAGCGGGGGAAGGGAAGAGAGGGGGGGGCGCGGGATGGAGGGAGACGGAGAGATGGGGATGGGGCAAGCTAGGTACCCTCGGGCAACATCCGATGTCCGATCTGCCCAGTCATCCTTTCCCAGTGTGTTGAATTCCTTTCTATCCGCTGACACCCACTTGAGAATTCCATTAGATATGTTGTCATGCAGTCGGGAAGGGGGGCGTTGATTATCCCACCAGCCCTTTGTGCTAAGATGGCCTAACGATTTCGTTCTTTCCTTTTCCAAGAACCTCTTCCCTTCTGGAAGGATTGCCTCCCCCACCCTCCCTGAGGGTTTTTGGGTGTTCGCGGTCAGTCAGGGCGCGTCCAAGATTACCGCCCAAGATGGCTCCATGAGGGCGTCCGATGCTCCAAGGTAGCTTCCGATATACATCCAAGAGGCCCGACGAGGGCCACGAGGCGGTTCCACCCTGGCGTGCACCGGGGCACACCAGGGTGGAGCCGCCAGGGAGTATGATTCAGTCGGGCGTGCCCCCCTACAGGCACTGCAGCACCCCCGGGGGGGGGGGGGCCGCCGGGGAGCACGACAGTCGCCAGGGCGTGCCCACATTGTGGGGACGTCACGGGCGGTTTTGAAGGGGCCCAAGGGCACACAAATAAATACACACAAATAAAACTTCATATTTTCCCATATTTTCTGGGCTTTTCTCTTCCCCCCCACTTCCCATATTTTCCTATATTTTCCTGGGCATCGATGATTAATTGTGTCTGTGTGTGTTTTTCCCCTCCTGCGCTTTGCTCGTTCCTGCTCCCCCCCAGACTCTCTAATTTCGGTGGTCGGCTGCTCGCCGCGAGTTAGCAGGCGTGGCCCTTGGGCACCCCCAGGGGGGAACTGCCAGGGTGCAACTTACGGGCCTGCTGGCGCCCAGAATGTGGGGATGCCTCAAGCGGTTTGCCTGCCTCTGCCAGGCTTTCTGTTGTGGTGGTCGGCTGTTCACCGCAGTGTAGCACATGCGCTACGATTGAGCGCCTCAAGAGGGAGCCGACTGGGGTGGTGGCACTCCGGATTTTGCCTCTAGATTGTGGGGGTGCCTCAAGTGGTTTGTCTGTTTCCCCCTTCCCCAGACTACTCTTTCGATTTATGTGTGCGTTCCTCATTCACTCGCTCAATCAATCACACACTCACTCAATCACTCAATTACTCACTCATTCACGAACCTCCTCCTCCTCCTCATCTTTCTCGCTTGCCTCGTTCAGACGCACTCATTCACATTCAGACTTGACTTACACTCTGTCCTCCTTCAGACTCAGCCATCCCCTTCACACTCCCCCACACTCAGATTCAGTCGCTCTCAAACTCGGCCAACCTTAGATTCACTCATACGCATAATCACCCTCAGATTCAGTCAGGTTCAGACTCGCCCACCCTCAGAGCCGTGCGTCATCATGATGATTCGTACTCAAACTCGTCTGCATTCAGAATCGTAGTCGTCACGCTCGCACTCACTCACTCACTCACTCACACTCTGACCCCATCGCGCTCCACTCGCGCTCGGACTCGCTCGCACCCAGATTCAATCATACCCCAGATCCGGTAGCATTCCGACTCGCCCCCACGCAAGTCACTCACACCCAGATTCGCTCGCACTGCGGATCACACCCGGGTGGATACTGGATACAGCCGGCGTGGCACCTGGGCACCCAAATGCCAGCAGGCGTCGCGCGCAGCACGCTAGAGAGCGGGCGTGGCAACGCTATGCGCGCTGACCTGAGTGCCCGCAGTGGGAAGAGCCAAAAAAATCGCCCCCTCGCTCCTGCAATTGCGGTGCCCTCGTCTCGCCCGGAACATGTCAACACGAGGAGGACGCTACTGAAGTCCTCGCCGTCGTCGCCGCTGTCGCGCCTGTCGTCTACGCGGCCTCGCTCTCACACCGAGACGCTCACAGACAGAGTTCCCCAGGGAGACGTGGCAGGGCTGATGAGATGCACATATGAGATCTGCGTCGATAATTTGACAGTCCCAGGCCACGCAAGGGCCCCAAACCGCTTGTTCCCCTTTTTTGAGCGATACGAGCACGGTTGGGAACAGGGGCTGGCGGCTGGCGGGTTGCCGGTATCGATACCGCTGCTCCCTGGACCCCTCCTGGGGCGCTTTCTAACTCAAATTTCGAGGCGAATCCAACGGTGGCGACGAGGCCCAAGAGGAAGAAACCGAGGGACAGCTAGCAGTATGCGTGCCTTTTCCTCCTCTGAGTTTGGATTCCTCGGGGCACGCGGGCGGCGGCCGAGCATCGTTTCGCCGACCCGTATCCTTGTGGATGCCATGACATTGGGCACTCTAACAGTCCTAACGTGGAATGAAAGATGTGTTTGTGAAACGTGTAAAGCATGTTCTAAGCATGTTTCAAACATGTGTTCCGCAAATGTAAGTCATACGTGAGACGTCTTTCCGACATCTGGAAATTATTTGGCAGCACGCTTCCTCTCCATTGATCGACTTCCACAGCCCTACGGCAGGTTCGTGTCGTGCCGACCCCAGCGTTGGTTTTTGACACCGCAGGGATCGTTCAACCTTGAACCATTGGCCGCTGCCGCAACGTCCGATCGTTCAACGTCGATCGATTCTGGGTCGCCAGCGGCGTTCAACCTTGAACGCCCACGCTGGGGTCGCCGCTGGTCGACACGACGCAAACCTACCGTATCCCCACTGGCGTCGCTTGGCCCTACTGGCCGATTTACGATCCAGGCAGGGATGCGGGCTCCCCTCGAGCGTCGAGGGCCCCAGAGCCCCGACCGGGGTGGTGGGATGCTGGGGACGACGACGACGACGACGACGACGACAGCGACGACGACGACGACGACGACGCAAACGACGACGACGAGGACGTCGACGACGACGAGGACGTCGACGACGACGACGACGACGACGAGGACGTCGACGACGACGACGAGGACGACGACGACGACGACGACGACGACGACGACGACGACGACGACGACGACGACGACGACGTCGAGCCGTGCGGCGGCGGCGGGGCGCGCCTCGGTGGCCCGCAGGCCCCGCGGGCGCCCGCGGCGGCGGGCTACACGCCGGGGGGCGCCCCGCGGCGCCCTCCGCCGTTGAAGCCTCGCCGCGCGGGGCGCGCGCGGAGGCTCGTCGTCGTCGTCGTCGTCGTCGTCGACGTCGTCCTCGTCGTTGTCCTCGTCGTCGTCGACGTCGCCGTCGTCCTCGTCGTCCTCGTCGGCGTCGGCGTCGTCGTCGACCCTCAACGTCGTCCTATTCGTCGTCGTCGTCGGCGCGGAGGCCTCGTGGGGCCTTCCAGGACGGAGCCGGCGACGACGAGGACGAGGACGACGACGAGGACGGCGACCACGGGGAAGACGCGACCAGCCGATCAGCATCGATAGCCCTCTCATCTGGGTGCAATGCTGGTGGTTCCGAAGTCTTTCGTACTACACAATCACCGTCGCTCCCCCATGCGCGCTCAAGCGACAACCCCCGCACCTCACACAGGTTAGCCGAGCGCGTAATCCGCCTGAATGTTGGGCCACCGACTCGGCGCCCTTTCCTTGCCTGTGAGCGTTGAGCGAGCTCGCTGTCGAGGGCGGTCCAGCTCCTGGTTGGTGATATTCATTCGCTCACCTGCCGACCTTGATTCCTGCATGACCCCTGGTGAGGATTCGAAGCGCGTTGACAATGCCAGGGCTATGGCTCTTATGCTTGTCGGCGACTGCGATCCTGTTACGGAGAACGACTATAAACCAGTTGGCAAGATCATTAGCAATGGACTGGTCGTGGAACGCATCGTTTGATACTCAAAAACTAGTGGAAAGGCTCTGAACTGCGTGGTAAAGCGTGACCGCTGGGATCTTGGCTCTCAGGTGTGGACCCAAATGGTCGAAGTCTGCATCACAGAGAATTGTGCCGCATAACAGACAAACAATGGAAAGCCATGTAGGCTCGCCCGTGTAGCGTCTGCATGCTTCCGCAAACTTCATCGCGAGAGCATGGGTCATAACCTTCTCCATTATCGCCTCTGGATCGGCCACCTTCCGCACCGTTACCCACATGCGCCGTAGTTTCAGCATCGCTCCGTTGCTGACAGCATTGGCTTTGATGATTTCACCCGCCTTATGCACCATACAAGCTGGGTAGAGACTGTTCCATCCGCCCACTAGACCGCCCGCGATCTTCACGACCTCGATTGAACGTTGGCCATCCCTTGGCCGCGTCGCAACGTCAAGCTCGTTGCACCAGATCGACGGAGTACGCGTTCGCACTGTCAGCGGACGTGGCGCAAAGAGCCTCGATCTCGCATAGTTATTACCAATCCTGGGCTGCATACCTACTGAAGAAGGACTACTAGTTGAAAGTTCGCTGAACGTACCTTTGAATTCAACAGACATGTGCAAAAACACGGGGTCTGACAACGCATAAAAAACGCACGAGCACACAAGATTGACAAGGCTGCGGTCCCTGTTTGGGCCTGCGAGGATGAAATCTGGGAAATGTGGAGCAAACATCAAGAATACCTGGTCCGTTTGGAGATTCCGCTTAGCCAGGCCCAGGCCGAACACGACTTCGCACATCGTATCAACCTGCGTGACCTTTGATCAAACTTGGCAGGGCCTCCACCACCGCAAGGGTTGCATGCCCACGAAGAAGGGCCTGCTCGCCCTCGGAAAGGTCCGTGGAGACAGTTCCGCCGAGGCGTCCAAGACTACATGCCACATTGCCCAAGCAGTGTCCCCTCTCGGCCCAAGCATTACGACTGATCTGGCGGCTCTTGACACTGCTGCTCGACTTCCAGCCCGGAACGTCCCCCGTCACCATGCTGAGCAGGTTTTCCATACACTCATCTGCCCCAGCTCGAAGGCCTCGAAGTTCATCCTGGAAAACCGAAGCACGATCGATGCCGAATGAAACATATATTGGTGTCCTCGTGCTCGGACAAGCTGAAGAGCTCGTCACGCCTCCTTGCGGTTTGGATGCTCCTCGTGCGAGTCGAGGGGACATGTGTAATCAGCGCACGTGTGGAGCATATCTCCGCTCCCCCCAAACGCATCGCGACCAGGCGCTCTGACCACGAAATGGATCCCGCATGCGCTCCTGCAGGCGCTTCGCCGACCTGCGCGGAGAAACGCAGCTGCACAGGAACATTGGTCCGTGGTTGCACACAGCAGCTGATATGACAATGCGACATATTTCCCCAGCGCGCCGTCCACGGTGCACAACCAATCGCGCGGCAAACAGGGCGCCGACGTAGAAGAGCAACCTTGGCCGGCGTTGTGTCATAAACTATAGCCGGTCTGACTTGGGCCAAAGCAGCTTGAGCCAAAATGGTTACGGACGACTGCGACGAGGAAGGCGACGGGGACGACGCCGACGCCGACGGCGACGACGAAGAAGACGACGACGACGACAACGAAGGAGGGTTTCCAAGACGGCGGACTCGACCCGTGCCGACTTCGGCGGTGGTTCCTGTCACCGCGGGGATCGTTCAACCTTGATCGATTCGCCGTTTCTGCACCGTCAGATCGCCGAACATCGACCGATCCTGGGCCGCCAGCGGCGCTCAATACGTCGAACACGGGCGGCGGGGTCGCCGCCGGTCGACACGACGCGAAGCTGCCGTACCAATGTCTTCGGCTCGGACATGAGTCAGTAGGGGGCGAGAAGGGCGGTGAGAAGGAACCAACTTTCGTCCCCAATTTCGGGCCCCAGGGGGCCCTATTCACTTTCTTTTTAGGACACAAGAGGTAAGAGGCCTCCTAGATGGGGTCCAGATAGACGGGGTCGGATGAGATCGACGCATCACCGATACATCGGCGATGCATCGCCGATGGATCGGCGATGCATCGGCGACGTCGGCGTGGAGAATATTGGGCTCCATATGGAGCCGCAACGCCGACGCCTCGCCGATGCATCGGCGATGCGGCGCGATCCTCCGACCCCATCTGCTCCGACCCCGTTCTAGGAGGCCTAGGGAGGTGCGCGTGTCCTCCCCCCCTATGTGGAATGGATGAGTGTACCTGAAAGCCCATCTGCATGTGCTCACCCCCTGGGCGACAGAGCCCGCACTAGGAGTCGGGGCGCCCCCCAGAGACTCGCGCGCCTTGAGGGCAGCGCACAGTGAGGTTCGAGGTAGAAAGATGCGGGCGCCGCCAACGTCATTGCCTGCAACATCTTCACATGATCGCCCCCCATAACTGCACGCCCGACCGACGAGATGACGTCTTCAATCCAGGAACCTGTCGTCCATGTGGGACTCGGGGGCCCCCCCTTTCTGGCTCCGGGCCCATGACAGACATGGATCGAGGCGAGAAACTGCCTTCTCCTCCTCCTCCTCCTCCTCCTCCTCCTCCTCCTCCTCCTCCTCCTCCTTCCTCCTCCTCCTTCCTCCTCCTCCTCTTCTCCTCCTCCTCCTCCTCCTCCTCCTCCTCCTCCTCCTCCTCCTCCTCTCTCTCCTCCTCCTCTCCTCCTCCTCCTCCTCCCTCCTCCTCCTCCTCCTCCTCCTCTCCTCCTCCTCCTCCTCCTCCCTCCTCCTCCTCCTCCTCCTCCTCCTCCTCCTCCTCCTCCTCCTCCTCCTCCTCCTCCTCCTCCTCCTCCCCTCCTCCTCCTCCTCCTCCTCCTCCTCCTCCTCCTCCTCCTCCTCCTCCCTCCTCCTCTCCTCTCGCCTCCTCCTCCTAACCTCCTCCCCTCCTCCTCCTCACCTCCTCCTCCTCCTCCTCCTCCTCCTCCTCCTCCTCCTCCTCCTCCTCCTCCTCCTCCTCCTCCGGACTTCGATCCTTTGGGAGGGTTCCGGGAGGCCAAAAACGTCGAAAACCTGAGGGCTCCTTTCCGGCAGGACACGACCACGAGGACGAGGGCGACGACGACGAGGAGGACATCGATGACGACGACGGCGATACACACGACGACGACGACGACGACGACGACGACGACGACGACGAGGGCGCCTCCTTCTCCTCCTCCTCCTCCTCCTCCTCCTCCTCCTCCTCCTCCTCCTCCTCCTCCTCCTCCTTCTGGGACCGGGAAGGGCCTTCTCCTTCTGGGTCCGGGAAGGGAAGAGGGTCCGGGCCTCTGGGGCCGCGCACGGGGAAAGCATCGCGTCTGACGCCTGGGTTGCGGACGAAGACCAGCGGACCACAGTCTCCGGAGGTCTTCGGGCGTGTCTCAGGAAGGGGGGGCGACAAACTCAGAGATCCGACGCTCCAAATAATTGGAGCGGCGGGATGTTAGCAAATTTCGGCCTCTGGGGGCCCTCGCTGGGCCTCGGGAGCGTCACAGAACGACTCAGGACGAAAGACTGGCTTCCAGGAAGCAGTCTGGACCTCCGGGGCCCACGCATCGAATAAATTGGAGCGGCCGGATGTGTAGGAATGGGGGGGCCCCTTCTGGGCCCAGGGCCCACGGGGGGGCCCCTCAGGGCCCTCAAAAGTGAAAGCGAGGGACACCTTTCTTCACCCCTATCTGTATCGCCCCCACCCCCCATTGCGCAACGCCCGAAGTCCTTCTAAATCGAAGATCTCCGGAGGTTTTCCAGAACGGAGGTCGCCGGAGGCCTTCCAGGACGGGGGCAACATCTGACCTTGGCGGCACGCGCGGGGCGCCTTCTCAGAAGGCGGTGGGGAGCTTCTGAACAAACTGGGCCTCCTCCGAATGCCTCCCAGCTTCTAGGAAGCCTTCCTAGAACCTCGAGGGCACTTCCAACAAGGCCCCTGGTTATTTTGTTTTTTGAAAGTGAAGTTCCCCGCCATTTTGGAAGGCCCCCCTTCGCGCCACAACTTGTCCGCGGCCGATCAAGAGCGCCCCAGAACGCTCTGTGGGCGTTCTGGAACGTTCTCGAAGAATATGTCCAAGTCCTGGGTCAGTCATATGTTCGCCCTGCTCTGGTGAACGGCAATGGAAGCGATTGGGTACTCTTAGACACGATTTGCTTCCAACCGAAGCTCCGCGCGCGCAGTATCGAGGAAACAGACGCGTTTAGACATGTGTGTGTGTGTTCCCACTGGGCCCCCGTGATGGGCACATCGAACAGTACGTGGTGACTGTGTATATATATATACATATATACACACTTGCCAAGACTCGATGTGTGTGTGTGTGTGTCGTTGTAGACGTGCGTATGTGCATGTGTCTATGTGCATGTATATGGAAAAGTGAATGTATATGTGTGTATGTGCATATGCATGCGCATGTGATTACGTGCGTGTGCTTGAGTTGGAAATAGCATTACAGTATATGCCAATGCATGTTTGGACACATGCGTATGGCATTGTACATGTATGCGTGTATCGGTCCATGTACACGTCGGATGTGTGAGTGTTATGCGTACGGATGTCATGGTTAGCTGTACATGCACGTATATACGTGCGTCTATAAACGTAGATCTACACATGTAGATGCGAATGCATATACATGATGCACACATGTAGATGTGCAGATGCATAGGTGTCGGTGCACTTGTCTGTGGAGTACATGTGTGTACATGTATGTGCACTGGTGTTGGTGCGTGTGCATAACTATACTATATGTATATATACATCTATATAAGGTTAGATAATATACTCAAGCATAACCACGCGCGCGAGGCGCGCACAGGTTCTAGTCGCAGCTAGGCCATGGTTCTCATCTTCGTTCGTGTACTGGGCGGCACTGCGAATCTCCCCGCATGTGGGTTTGCGGAGCTTCCGTCCGCATCGGCCCTCTCCTATCCTCGTCCCTCTCGGTCCTCGCCGGTGCTGTGGTCCGTCTCCTCCTCCTCCTCCCCTTCCTTCTCTGCTTCCTCCGTGGCTCTCCCTTGTCCCTCTCCCTGCTCCATCTTTGCTCCTCTGTGGTCCTCCTCCTCCTCCTCTTCCTCCTCCTCCTCCTCCTCTCCTGTTCCCTGTGTTTCCCTGCTCCCCTGCGCCCGCTGTTTTCCTCATCACTCGCCTCCTCCTCCCCTGCTCCTCCTGTGCCCCTGATCCGGCATCTTGGATGTCTCGCGGGGTCTCTCGACGGTCTCCTGGAGGCGCCGTGAAAGCTTGCTGTGCGGCCTAAGACCCAGGGGCACCAGCGTGGGAGCCTCCTCCCTTCTCCTCCCTCCTACTCTCTGCTACTCCTCCTCCTCCTCCTCCTCCTCCTCCTCTCGCCTCCTCCTCCTCCTCCTCCTAACCTCCTTCCCTCTTCCTCCTCCTCCTCCCGGATTTCGTCCCTTTGGGAGGACGACGACGACGACGGCGATACCACGACGACGACGACGACGACGACGACGACGACGACGACGACGACGACGAGGGCGCTCTTTCACGGTCCAGAGGCTCTGGGATCGGTCTTGAACTTTCGCTGATTCTTCGTGGGTTGTCTACCTAATGAGCTGAAAAGGCGGCTGCCCAAAAAACACTTAAAAAACAATGGGGAATCCAATGACTTGTGTCTCTTGCGGCCCTCTTGGGGGCCGTCTGGGGATCGTCTTGGAGGGTCTGGGGGGTGTTGACTTGAGCCGTCTGGAAGCCTTCGTTGGGCGCCTCGGGAACGCGGTTGGCCATCATGAGGCGACCGCCGGTGTCTGGGACTGATTTTCTGGCGACTCGGGCGCGACTGGGCGCCTTTTTGGGACTATCTGCTCTGGGCGCCCCTGGGGGGATTACCTGAAGCCGTCCTGAAGCGGGTGGTGGTGCTGCTCGGGCTGGGTTCGACTGTCAGCAAGTGGAGAGGGCGGAAAAGCCCCAGGAACGTCAAAAGCCCGAGGGGGACCAATGATTCGTGCCTCTAGGGTCAGGTCGGGCGTGTCCTCCCACAGGCGGATCTTGGGAGAAGGATGAAACATGGTCGAAACAGATTCGAACGCATCTCAGAACATGCTCAGAAAATGGTCCTCAGACTACGTGATGACTAAATTTGAATATTCCTCCTGTGGGGGGACGTGCCCGACTTGCATCCAGGGGCCAGCGAGACACACGCGTCTTGGAGGGCACCTCGGCGGCAGGGGCGCCCGCCGCAAGCGCGCGGCGGGGCCGCGGCGCCTTTGGCTGCCGGCTGCTGCTGGCTCTTCACCCCCGTGCGTCAGGGCTGAGGGCGTTTTTTTTTGTGTACCAAGCCAGCGAGCAAGAAGGCCTTGCGTCCAGGTGGGCGCGCTGGCAGGAAAAGTACAGTCGGGGCGTTGACCTAAGGAACCCTAAAGAAGGAACGAGGCCCCTTTTTGCTCCAGAAGTTAAACTTCGATTTCCCATCGAAAACACGAGGAAAACCTGAGGCAAGCTGTGAAACAATCAAGGAACACCGAGCCCCTCCCCAACGAAAAGGGTTCCTTCGTCAGCGCCCCGCCTGTAATGTGGCCAAACGGCACACGAACCGTTCGAAGCAAGGGGGCGGAGCTTTTTTTGTATGTGAGCGTGTTTTGATTCGGCGTTGCGACATTGGGCGGGCGGGAGGGGGGAGGGGGGGGGGTTCTGGCTCCGGATCTCTGCTTAGTGCGACTGCCTGCAGCCAGTGCGGCGGATGGGGGGAGGGACCTCATCTGCCTGAAAAAAATGCCAAAAACAGTCAAGATCTACTCCATGAGGGGGGGGAGGGGGGGGGTGCGAGGGCCCGAGCCGATCGGCACAACAATGAATAACAAATTATCACTAGATTCAAACAGAGCGACGCCCGTGCACCGCACCGCTTATGAGAGGAAGAGAAAGCGGCATACAGTCGGGGTTGACTGGAGAGGGCACGCGAGCGGACACAAGACGCTTCAGAGGGCCACGTTAGCGTGCGTCGCGAAGCTCAGGAAGCAAGAGCACCCTTGATTTGGCAGGGTCGACCTACCAATCCGCCTCGACTGTAAACATAAACTTTCCACGTCCGCGCGGACTTCTTGGATCTGCGCTGGAACCCCCTCCCTGGCGCGAAAAATGCGCCACTGGCGGCACTGGAGTCGCCGCCAGGGGGTGCCCAGCGCCGATCCAAGAACTCCGCGCGGAACTCCGCAAGTTCTACTTATGCCACGTTTTCGCACTCGACTTCCAGACTCCCGTCAGGCCCCGCTCCAACGCGGCACCGTGCGAGGCTGCCGGCCCGGAGGGCAGAAAAAAAACACTGGCGGGGGGTGGGGACGACAGGGTAGGACAGCAGAGGGTACGGCAGGGAATCAGCTCACGCAGCTGGCTTCCCTGGCACCTCCCGGCGCACCGGGAGGCGCCCATGTATCGGGGAGTGGGCGCGGCGGCGGGGCCGAAACCAGCTGCCTGCAGCAAAGTTCGTACCCCCCCCCGTTCCCCATCCCACCCCCTCGCCCGGCCCGACACATCTGCAGAGTACCACTGCTGGGGGCCGAGCATCGGCGACGCCTCCGGAGACGCCGAAGCGGTGCGGTGCACGCAAGTCGCCCGCGCCTAGTGGGTGCGCGCGGGGAGCGGCGGCTCGACAGCAGGCGTGGCTCGCAGGAGGCGGGAGCGGGGACCGCGAGGGAGCTCGGGGCCCCTCCAGGGCCCACACCAGCTGCAAGACGAAGCCAGGGCGAGGATCGCATCGGGCAAGGGTAGATCGAGAATCTCCGATATCCGGCGGATCTGGAGGATGCCTCGGGCGCCGCGCGGCCTTCTCAGAGCGTTCCGGGGCGCTCTGAGAGCGTTCTGGAGCGCTATGAACGGATTTACCCTCGTCCTAGCCTTATGTCGGGCATGTCCCCCTACACGGGGGATTTTCGACGAAAAATTAAAATACCCCAACAGTACTCCAAAAATGCCCCCCCCCCCCCAAAAAAAAAAAAAAAAAAAAACGTCCCCCAGACTATTTTGGATTATTTTTTGATTATTTTGGGGGTACTTTTTATTTTTCGTCGAAAATCCCCCTGTAGGGGGACAGGCCCGACTTCGTCCCAGTCCCGTACGAAGCTGGGCGACGTCGGCGAGATGCCCTGGAATGCCGACCACCGTATTTCCTGCCGCGGGTTCGCGTCGTGCCGACCCCGGCGCGGATTCCTGACACCGCGGGGGTCGTTCCACCTTGCACGACCTGCCGTTTCGGAACCGTCAGGTCGTTCAGCATCGACCCATTCTGGGTCGCCCCGGCGGCCTTCAACGTTCAAGGCCGGCGGCGGGGTCGCCGCGGGTCGACACGACGCGAGCCTACTGCAAGTTACGTTCCAGGGGAATGACCGGGGAGGGGGCCGGCTCAGGGGGGGAGGGCCCCTCCTCCTGCTCCTGCTCCTGCTCCTCCTTCTCCTCCTCATCCTCCTCCTCCTCCTCCTTCGCTGGAACCGTCGAGCTTGAATCGCCGAGATCGCCGACATATCGGCGATAGGCCCCCGACGGCAGATCCTCGCGCTCCTGGGCGGGGCGGGCTACGAGGTCCCCATCGGGCACCCCCGGAACGCTCTCGGCGAGGCACGGCTGCTGGAAGCCATCCCAAGGCTGAACCAGCTGAAATACCGAGACCTCGAACCTCGATCCCGAGAAAGTCGCCCCCCCTGATCGTATCCCCCTCCTGGCGTTGCCCCTGATATCTGTGGCGGGAGTCCGCCGACCTATCCGCCGGCGCCAACACGCTTGCCCAGACAAGCGATGCCCTGAGTTGTCGAATGCCCGGACAGCTCCTTGTAGAGCTAAGCTCTGACATTAGCAGCCGGCACCGCAGGGCAACCCAGGAGCTCGCTCCAGCTTCCAGCAGGATGCCCGCAGCGTCTTTTGCCGGAACTTGCAGCGTGTCTGGAAGGCCACTCTTGACACTTTTCCAACACGTGTGCCGTCGAGCTTTCCAGAAGCTCCTTTCCTAGAGGCCTCCCGAGTATATGGGGTCGGAGGATCTCGCCGCATCGCCGATACAACGGCGATGCATCGCCGATGCATCGGCCAGACTACTTGTGAATATTCCTCCTGTAGAGGGACAGGCCCGACTGAGCCCCAGGCATCGGGCAAAGCCGCGGGCGCGGTCCTTGATGAACTTCTTGGCGCCGAACTCCCCCTGCATCTTGTGGTTCTTCACCTCGGACGCTCAGGAGCGAGCATCGAGCAACTGATGCGAGCGCGCTTCGTCGATGCTGGCCCTGTGGCGCCTCCGCAGGCCTCCCGACCTCTCTGGGGACAGCCTGGAGACCCGGGGCCGTGGCCGCCTGCCGAGGCCGGCCCGGCACTGCCGCGAAGTCCGGGCAGCTCCCGCGAAGACCCCCCCGCCGTCAACGGGAGCAGCCCCTGGGCGACGGCACCGCAAAGGGATCCCTGGAGGGCCCTGGACGAGGCGCAGCTGACGGACGCCGCCCGGGGGCGCCACGCAGCCCCCCCCCCCCACTCCCGCGGAACAGGAGACTCACAGAGCTGCCGGCCGTTCGCCCCACTTAAAGAGGAGGAGGAGGAGGAGGAGGAGGAGGAGGAGGAGGAGGAGGGCGAAGAGTAGGCGGCGGAGAAGGAGGAGGAGGCGGGACGGAGGAGGCGACGGAGGAGGAAACGGAGGAGCACGAGGAGGACGAGGAGGAAGAGGAGGAAGGGGAGGAGGAGAAGAACGAGGAAAAGGAACACCTCCCCATCCTCCCTTATGCCCCACCCTACCTATGGTAGTTGTTGGAAAAATGTGAGACGGGGCCAGGACGAGGATAAATCCGGGTCAAGATAAATCGAACATCTCGGAAATCTGGCGGTTCTGCGTGATGCCTCAGGCGCCGCGGCCTTCCTGGAGTGCTCCAGAACTTTCTGGGGGCGCCCCGGGACGCTCAGGATATGATGCATCATCGTCGTCGCCCCAGTCGAAAGTGACCCATAACCCCCACGCGCACACACACAGACACACACGCACACACACACACAAAACAGCAACAACACCAACAACAACCACCACAACAACAACAACAACACCAACAACAACAACAACAACAACAACAACAACAACAATCACTTTACCCGAACGCTCAGTGTTCTCACCAGTGCCAGGGTTTTCATGCGACGCCAGCCAATACCCCCACTTTGTGGGGGGGCAGTGCAAGCTCTACCAAATATCCACACGACTCTTCGCCACCACCCACACCCAGCTTCCCGCCCTATGACGTTCGGACACTTCACTTCGTGGCCTGCGGACGACCGTGGCTACTACACTGGCGTGGAGTACACACCCACAGAAGTTGTTAAGCCTACGTTCGTACACCCACAGAAGTTGTTAAGCCTTGTTAACCCACAGAAGTTGTTAAGCCTTCCACAGAACATCTGTTGCATATGATGCATATGGTACATGATACACATGATACACATGATACGTACTCACAAGATAGTTGATCACATCTTTGGAGATTTCGGCGTGCGCGCGCGAAGAAAAAACCAATGTGTCCCGCATGGTATTATTTGACAGGGATGATGGCCCTGGCAGGTGCGCAACCGTTGTCGCAGAAGTTCGAAAAAGTTGCTCGCAAAAGCCCGTTTGACAGAAATGTTTAAAAAGTGTTGGTTTTCCTACGAATCCGCAAGAGCGCGCGGGATGAGATTTTGACATTTTTTTGTTGAAAAACCATTGGTTTTTTGATGTTTTTATGTTAAAATCGCTCCGAACACTAAGCTTTTGGAAGGATTTCGTCTTGCGCGCGCGAATGTCCACTTTACCTTATTTTTTGCAAGGGATTCTTGAAATTTGATTATATTAGAACAAGAAATGTCATTTTATAGTGTTTTTTGCAAGGGAAAGCGGGGGGGAACAAAACAACCGGATCTTGATCACATCGAATTACCTGAGGCTTCCTCACGAAAATGATGAAAATGTAGCTGCGGCCTAGGCGGCGCAGGGGGGCCGTGCACCAGGGGCCCCAACAATAATTATTCTTTAGAATTAATAATGTTCAACAACAACAACAACAACAACAACAACAACAACAACAACAACAACACAACATCAACAACAACCACAACATCAAACCAACACCACCACCACCGCCACCACGAACAACAACAACAACAACAACAACAACAACAACAACAACAACAACAACAACAACAATTACTAGCACGTGGGGACACTCCGTTCTCACCAGTGCCAGGGTTTTCATAGGAGGCGGGCAATACCCCCACTTTGTGGGGGGGCCGGTTCAAGCTCTACCAAATTTCCAAACGACTCTTCGCCACCACCCACACCCAGCTTCCCGCCCTATGACGTTCGGACACTTCACTTCGTGGCATGCGGACGACCGTGGCTACTATTCAGGGCCCCGCGGCCGACGACGACGGCGTGCGCGCGCGAAGAAAAAACGAATGTGTCCCGCATGGTATTATTTGACAGGGATGATGGCCCTGGCAGGTGCGCAACCGTTGTTGCAGAAGTTCGAAAAAGTTGCTCGCAAAAGCCCGTTTGACAGAAATGTTTAAAAAGTGTTGGGTTTCCTACGAATCCGCAAGAGCGCGCGGGATGAGATTTTGACATTTTTTTGTTGAAAAACCATTGGTTTTTTGATGTTTTTATGTTAAAATCGCTCCGAACACTAAGCTTTTGGAAGGATTTCGTCTTGCGCGCGCGAATGTCCACTTTACCTTATTTTTTGCAAGGGATTCTTGAAATTTGATTATATTAGAACAAGAAATGTCATTTTATAGTGTTTTTTGCAAGGGAAAACGGATTACAACAAAACAACCGGATCTTGATGACATCGAATTACCTGAGGCTTCCTCACGAAAATGATGAAAATGTAGCTGCGGCCTAGGCGGCGCAGGGGGGCCGTGCACCAGGGGTCCCAACAATAATTATTCTTTAGAATTAATAATGTTCAACAACAACAACAACAGCAACAGCAACAGCAACAGCAACAGCAACAACAACAACAACAATCAGTTTAACACTGTTCGCCCTTTTCTGCTCGAGTGTCCAATAACGCCTATTTTCCAAACCCTCGATACCCGACCTCTTCGTCTTCGATCGACCCCCTTGTGGGGGGTATACCTGTCTTCCCTGCAGGCCAGGCCCCGGCAAGCGGCGGGGCGGCCGCGGACCGTCGGCCTGGCCAGCGGCAGCGCTGATCGGCGGGGCGGCCGCGGACCGTCGACCCGACCCCAAGAGGGACGGACAGGGGACCGACCACGACGACGACGACGACGACGACGACGACGACGACGACGACGACGACAACGGTGACAGCGACGAGCGAAAGCCAGAGCGAAAGAGAACGACAGCAGGGCCACAAGGACACGAAGTAGGCCACGAAGGGCAACAGCGGGGACACGAAGGGAATGCGTATGGGGCCACGAAGAGCGCGAACGAGCGGGGGTCACGAAGGGCAGATAATGCGGGGCCACAGAAGGCAACGACGGGGCCACTGAGGGTAGCAACTGGGCCACGTAGGACAGATGCATATGGGGCCACCACGGGCGCGAACGAGCGGGGGCCACGAAGGGCATACATATATGGGGCCACGAAACAAAGCGAGGGGGCCACGAAGGGATGCAACGGGGCCACGAAGGGCAGCGAGGGGGCCACGAAGGGCTGCAATGGGGCCCTTCACGAAGGGCAGTGAGGGGGCCACGGAGGGCTGCAACGGGGCCACGAAACAAAGCGAGGGAGCCACGAAGGACTGCAACGGGGCCACGAAGGGCATCGAGGAGGCCACGAGGATCTGCAACGGGGCCACGAAGGGCAGCGAGGAGGCCACGAGGATCTGCAACGGGGCCACGGAACAAAGCGAGGGGGCCACGAAGGGCTGCAACGGGTCCACGAAAGGCAGCGAGATCCCGATTCCTATGTAATCTGTGAGGGAGTCCTAAGCGTGAGCGCGACTCCTGGGTGCCTGGGTGTCGGGAGCGCGGCGCTTGAGTAAATTGCAGAAGATTCCAACGCAAGGGCGCTATTTGTCAGGAAATTGCAAGCAAGTCTCCAGCGAGAGCGCGACTCCAGAGCGCCGGGAGAATACATTCTAAGGAAGTCCCAAGCGAGAGCGCGATTCCCGAATAAAACGCGAGGAAGTCTCGGGCGGGAGCGGGGGTCCTGGCCAAATTGTAAGGAATTCTCAGGCGGGAGCCGTTGTTGTTGTAAACCGGCGGCCAACGACACAGTTTGACCCTCAAGACTTTCCCTGATAAAAAAACAGGGTGCGAGCCCTGGGAAGGGCACATCAATCGAAAAAAACAATGTGCACCGGACGGGGGGGATCAACAATAATATTCTTCAGAATGAGAGTTCAACAACAGTAACAACAACAGCAACAACAACAACAACACAAACACCAACACCAACAACAACACCAACAACAACACCAATCATACCAGCATCAACAACACCAACAACAACAATTGTGTACCCGAACACTCCATGTTTTTATATGCCGCATGCATCCATCATGATAGCTCCCCCCCTCATGGGGGATTGATCTTGCACACGGGGGTCCGATGTTCCCTCTCCCTGATCTCCCGCCCGAGGGGTCTTGACAGCACCTCTTCTGGGGCATCTCGACATCTCCAGCCCGGATGGCACATCGCCTTCGCAATCCCCCCTGCTCAGGTCTTGCTTCTGGGTATCACGACGCATGAGTGACCGGAAACCTCAGGGAAAGGCCTCACAACCTCTGGGAAAACCCCGTGGAACGCCCCCAAAGCCTGTGAGAGAAACTTCAGAGTTTAGGCCCCTAGGATTCCGACAACTTTCCGGGGGCCGCTTTGACGTCGGCCGCTTTCTGATGGCGCCGGCGCTCGTCGTCGTCGTCATCCTCCTCCTCATCCTCCCTGTACTTGTCTAGAAGTTCCAGGAGGCCCCCGACGACCCCCAGAGCACGACGAAGACGATGACGACGACGGCGACGACGATGACGACGACGATGTCGACGTCGACGACGACGACGGCGATGGCGGCGGCGCCGGCGGTGGCTACGACGCCGACAACGCCACGCCGCATGACACGAGCGAGAGCGAGGTCGTGCGGAGTAGGCGCGAGAGCGCATTCAGGGTGTCAGCAATCTTTTAATGTTAAGCGACGCCAACGACGACGAAGACGACGCCGAAGACGACGACGACGACGACGAAGACGACGGC